ATAGATGAATGGAGAATTTATAGGCATCAGATTTCAATAGAGGGGCAGACTGCCTGCATGTAGCTGCTGGAGTCATGACCTCTGGCGGAGACATATCAAAATGACTGATCGGTCTCTCAGTTTGAAGCCCAGGTGGATCAATATGTCACCAATATCAATTTGTCACTCAAAGCTAACTGAAGAAACATAAGATGACAAATGATGCTCTGTTCAGCTGGGAATATTTTAGAAATCAGATTAGCAGGTGTTTGTCTTTGTAACAGCGTGAAATTTCACATTCTGAGCGCTTTGGAACTGGAGGAGGTTTGAATCACATTTTCTGACTAACAAGTTTAATATAAAATCAATTCCTAATTTAGTTTACAAAATAAAAGAATTCACATTTACCGTCTCTCCTGAGTGGAGTTAAAGTTCACCAAGTAACCTTTTTACATATCCCTCTTTATTAAACAAATCAACAAAAATTGAAATAATTAATTGCAATTAATATTGATCAGGCAAATAACAAAGGTGACCTTGTTAACCACAGTATCATTTGAGATTTGAATGATATACTGCCTTAGCATCAGAACATCTTCCACATTCTGGAGTGGTTCTTACCCTTTAAACGCAGTGATTTGTCCAGTCAGTTTGTTCACTGTGTCGTCCCAACATGATACCTCTTTGGCCTTTTCAGTCCTTAATTGCTTTTTTTCAATCAAGTGATAACAAAACCACAATTTTTTTTTTACTCCCTTTAGTGTGTCAGACATATTTGTTGTTGAGTAAATGTCCGGCCAGACGTCGCTGTGAGAAAGCATGTTTCCTGTGTGCCATGAGTCAGTCTCAGCCCAGTCCTGCTCTCCTGCAGGTTGTGACATATTCCGCCTGAGGCAGAAACACCAGGTCCAATGTATCACTAATATTGAGTAGAGCAGTGGCTAAGAGGACAGCAGGGCAGGTTGTCTGCAAAAAGGTCAACAGTTCACAAACCGGCTGGGAAAAATCTGGGGGTCTTGCTCTTTACTAACTTACTTAACCTCTCAATCCTCAGGGGAAGCTTTTTATTTTCCAGCTGAAATGGCCGTAGCTGCGCAGGGCTGAGAAACCAGGAAACAAACTGTCAGACATGTTTGAGCAGGAAATATCAGCATGAAGAACCATACTTGTTAGATGTATCCTTGTGAATTAACGTTCAAATCAGATTATTGTCCCAGCAGATTGTATTTTCACTCACAAAGTTGAAGTGGGAGATTGAAGCTTTAAAATATTTAATGGCCGCAGCAGCAGATGTCAAGGATAATGATGCAAGGCAACCTTTTCTGACTGTTCTTTTTCAGATTAATCTTTGTTGCGAGCTGATCTCAGGCTATGACCTGATTTGTACTTTTAAAAGATTAGTGCACACAGCAATGCCACTAATATATTTTATTTCCTTTTGCCCCCTCAAACACTGCCACATGCTGGTGTCATAGAAATTTGTAAAACTGTATACAGTTAAAAATTAAATTATTAACATCACTGAGAAAGTTTGGTTTACTTTTATTAGGTATTTCCACCACAAACTAGCCAATTTACAAACACATTGTGTTACATTATTTTCATTTGAAAATTAAATTTGGGAATATTACAAATCGTCATATTATTAGCCCACCACTGTTATAGAAAACTCAAGCAGGCAGCAGGGCGAGTACATGGCTAAAAAGTATATTTCCAAAAAAATATTGCCCTTTGCTGTCTCTCCCTTGATTCTCCCTTGATTATTATCTTATTTTATTTTAACTATTGTAACTTTAAACAAAATGTTGACAGCAGTGGTATCCTAGAGTCTGTACGCATCAAAAGACCAACCAAAGACATGTGACAGGTTTATGCGTTTGGATGTTTATATATATGTTTATGCAGTGTCCTCCATGTGGAGATGACATGTATCTCTAGATGCACCCCAGGGTTCTAGTTTAAGTCTGCTGTAAATTCCTAATTATCAGCTGTTATCTGCTCATTGTCCAGAGCCTCTCTGTTGTTCCTGCCAGCTCACCAAGGCAGCAGACACACTCCAGGCCCTCCTGCTTCCCATGTGAGAGCAGAGACTCTGCCTGACATCAGACATGGGAAGCCAGCTCTGGCAGGGCATAAGGTCAAGACTTGACCACCGCAGGCAGATAAAGAAGCCTTTTCTTGTGCAATCCGCCCATAGCTGAAAGACATGCCTTGAACTTCAGCACGGCGGGAGTCTGCTGCTAATGATGGCAGTTGAACACACACCTTGTTATTATTTAGTTAAGATTCCGCTCCGACACCTTTTTACTTGTGTAGCTTGAACATGAATGGATGTACAACATAGAGCGAACACCTATTCTGTTCTTGACATGCTCTAATGAGGTGATGCAAGTAGAATTCATTATCCTTTACTCATCTCCCTTATTAAATCTGTGCCAGTCAAAAGACAGGAGATGAGATGAAGAGAAGCAGAGGAGTTAAGCAAAGGAAAATGATTGTGCCAAAGGGGCTGGAACCAAATATTAGATTGATGATGCCAGTTTGCACAGTCGGTTCCTAACATTCGCTGTAAAATCCAGGCTCAGGCAGCCTCCAATTCCTCATCAAGCCTCTTTACAAAACAACTATGACACTCATAACACCCTCTTTTCTTAAGCCCCCTCCCAGCTCTCCTCCATCGTCTGTCTTGTCATCATCCAGTGCATAATTCATGAGCAGCTAAACCCAAGTCGGTTCATACACTCCTAAGAGAGTGCGCTGTGCAGTGCCCACAGCTGCACAAAAGGCTTGTCAATCCCATGACAGACTATTTTGCATTCTTTGTTTCATAAGAATGGATGTAAATGGAGGGCGTTTTTCTTGTATGCCGCTCTCCCAGGTAGCTGGAATGCAAACAATGCCGAGGAGCTGTCATGGAGTCTGTTTTTGTTCGGGCTTATACTGGGGACAATAACATTTAGAAGTGACATTCTCAGAGGCGTTTGAAGTTGGAAGAGGTGCAGGTCAACCTCTGCTGCCGCCATGACCTGGGTTTCACATCACATCCTGTTGTCCATGATATTGTTCCTAGTTAAATCTGCACCATATGATAGGAAGGGCTGTGACAGAAGAAAAGTCATTAGGTATTTACTTCTTTGTTGATCAGAAGTCAGTGTTTATCTCCTCACGTTCAGTATCCAGTAGTAGATGGACGTTGGTCACAATACAGGTGATTGTAAGTCATAGTTTTGGACATTTGTTGATCACTGGTGTTCAGAAGCAGCTGAAAGTGTTCTGTCTTCTATATCTATATATGCAAGACAATAGTTTATATACTGCTTATGAAAAAAAAAGATAATGTGCAGGGTTTGGAGCAGTCTCGTTCTTCTGTCCACTACTATCTCACTGCCAAATTCTTCTTCGACCAGTTAAATTCCATTCTTATTACACTTATCTGTTATAATTGCCACCTCCAGGAGTCAAGTACCACCATAACAAATGGTGGTAAATCTATAAAATGTGCTGCATTTTCATATTCTGTGTTTTTTTTACACCAAAGGTAAAGGTATTCCAATAAAGAATGTTTTCCTGTGTTTCTGGACTAAGTGACAGTTTTGATGAACATGTCATAGTTATTGGCTCAGGTTAAGTGGTCTTTGATTACCTTTAGCAGTCTTAATAATTTAACACTGAAATGTTGCTATTTTCTTGGCTCTCCTTGATTCACCATTAGTTTCATCCTCTCATTTTTTAACTTGTATTTAATTCTTTTAGCTAACCTTTTTTTTTTCTTTCTATTTATTAATTCTTCAATGCCTTCAATTATTTGACAGATAAAAACACGCATTTGGGTAAATAATATGATAATTTTTTTTCTCCCCAAATATTACCTCATAGTCTCACTTGTAGTGTTTTGATATAACCATAGCTCTCCAAGCATCTGAGCTCCTAAATGCTCCTTCTGTTGGGTGTGTGTGTGTGTTTCTGTGTGTCTTCACTGTGCTGAGTCCGTCTATATATATATTGAGTGAATGCTATTTATAAAGTTGAACCACAAATAGTAGCAACAGGGTCTAAAACAGTCTTGTCTCTGTTGCCATTTCTGGACTGCTGCTGATGCAGGCTTCACATTCATTCATGAGTGGATGTGTAGAAATGTCTACTTTTAGACTTTTAGGGCTTTCTCTTTATCTGAAATGTACTATGTTTTCATCATTAGTTTCATATTACCGACCACTGTTATTTCACGGTTCGTTAGCCCTGAGGCTGAATCCGACACACATTTTTACACTCTATACCTCCGTCACGGGAAATTAGGCCAGGGTTACTTTAGTTAATAAGGCATAATGGCATTACTGCACAGAGAACAGCAGAGGCAGCTCGTCTTTGATGTATCATCTGTGGAAAACTGCCCACTCATACCTGCTCTCCAGACATGTCATGTGTCTGGAGTGAAAATTTGGAAAATTCTGGCTGTGACGTACTTTTTTTTCAAATCCTAATGATCCGGTGTCACTTAAATGTGGAAAAATGTCTGATGTGGTGTGGCCACTGTTCATACGCCTACCATTGAATAAAAAAGAAAATCAGTTTCCTGTCAGGGGCTGAGCACAGAGAGGGGCAGTGTTTGGAAATGGAAAATATGTAGAATCCACAGACTGGAACTTCTCCGTTGGGAGAATTCACACTTGTCGTGTCAGTGGGCCATGGCCGGGCAGTGAGTTGCCGCAGGCGAGCAGCAGATCAGTGATGTGGTGGTGATGCCTCTAATGAAGCTGACACAGTGCAGCCTCCTTCCTTGTGGGCCCTCAGGGCCTCCTGCTCTGCATGTAGCACCACAGCACCCCCCCTTCATGTTTCTGCCTAAAGTGCTTCTGTTGTGATGGCACTTTTGATGCACTGCTGCATCATTTATTTCCATATAGAGATGGTCAAGGCAAAGCTAATGTTTGTAGTAGCTAAACTGGGTCACAGTAAACAAACAAAGACTTCTACCTCTTCTTTTTTTTTGGTCTCATGAATATTTTTGTCTTGTTTTTCAGGAGCTGCCCAGCTGAGGTGAAGGGGAGGAAACAACATCCAGTTCAGCCTGATTGTGGGTGACCTGACTCCCTGAAAGAGGACCATGATCTGAAGGAAGTTCTTTACATCAAACCCCATCTTCCTCTCCAACTTCTCCCTCCTTTGTTTTTTCTTCTTTTACAGTTTTTTCCTTAATTAACACACACGTTGACATCCTTTCTGCCAAGCGGCTTCAAACTAGAGTCGCTGTGCTTACAAACTTCATTGTGACACATCGAGAACTTCAGGAGGAGGAAGATAATAGCCCCCTCTATAATCTTTGACCTTGCCATTTCTTCAAATCTCCTCCCACCGCCACACCGGAAAAATGGGGAGGAAAAAGATTCAGATTCAGCGGATCACAGACGAACGCAATAAACAGGTGAGTGAAATCAGGTTGATTTGTTCAGAATTATCTTATCTTAGCATTGAGCCTCTGAGGGGAGAGGGGGCAGTAAGACGAAGATGGGGTGGCGCTTGATAATATTTAAGGTCCACCATGCGAAATTCTGTTAATTAACAAAAGACTATATTAGTTTAACTTTAAAGCTTTTTTTTCATCTTTTTCTGTTGTACTTTGTCATTTAATGCTACATGCTATCCATGTGCAGTACTTTGTCCATTTAACATCCCTCGGTTTCATTGATCACACTTCTTCCAGGAGAATGTAGGTGAGGTGGACTGCACCGTACATTGGCATTTACATTATCTTAGTTGAAGACTTAGTCCCAGGTGTCCAGTTCGGCGGCCGACAAACTTTACCTATTGACGCGCAAATGCCCAAGTGACATCAAACCCTCACACATTACTTTTAACACATGTAAATAGTAAGCCTTTGCTACAGTAGCTGCTCTTACACAGAAATCTTAGGAACTGCTGAAGAGAAGTTCTGGCCAAAACCATATCATTTAAATAAAATTAAAATAAATGTATACCATATGGAGCCCATATTAGGGAAGTTGTGGTGTTAGCGGCAGATTAACAGGCTGCCCCCAGCAGGCGCCAAGCATGTGGTTCCTCTGGGTATCGAACCCAGGATTCATTTAATTAGATGGAACAAGGATAGAAGAAGGCAGTACAAGTGGAAACTATGTTTGGCACAAGGAGAGGAATTACCCAAAGAACACCCTCCTCGTGGTAAAGAATGGATGTAGGAGAAGTTATTTTAAAGAAAAAATATTTTATTTTTCAGATCTAGGAAAATGAAAAGAGAGAATGAAAGACTAAGGAAGGAAGAATAATCACTATTATTATTTTTACAAAACTGAATCTAAAGTCTTTGTTGACACAGATAGTGATACCGGGAAATACCTTGTTTTAAATGTTTAGTCAACAGTTGTACTTTTGTCGTATATATCAGCAGTGCAACATGACACTGATGAATGTGATGTGTAAATGATCCTACTCTGATGGGCTTGTCGATACAGTGTGGTAGAACAGCAGTAGGAAACTTTGGTGCTCTATTACTGTGTAACACACTTGTCTGACCATTCTCTTCACTTTTCCTGCATAGCACATCGTTTAGGTGACATCTGAAGTTACACATTATGACTTTATGTCCGGAATTGCTGCAGGCCTCACCTTTCTGCTCACAGGCCTTTTGGAGTATGTTTGGGGGACAAGAGAGGGCAGATTTCCAATTATTCCTAAACTGTGAAAGATTTGAAAACTAAATTCATCCAAAACAAATTATACACAAGGTTTAAAACATCAACTTTTTACAGCTTCATGAGCTACTCAGGCAGCTAATGATGGAACTAAAAAAGGGCCAGGTTTTACACCCCCGTCAGAAGAACTAGTCTTGAAAATTAACAAACAAATTAACACATTAACACACACACACACACACACAGAGTCTCTTTACATTTGCACTTTTTACATTGAACACAGCAGTAATACATAAGACGCTCTCTAAATAGTACAGCATTAGAACAATACAAGAGCATCGTGTTTTATGAGGCTCGAATGACTCTGGAGAGGCATTGTGGGGTTTCTGAGACAGTCATCAACTCCCTAAAATACTGCCTAGAGTGGAGGAAAAACAGCAAAATATATGATACCCCGCAGCTTTAAGTCCCTTTGGTTACATCAGTGGTATTGTCAAAAAGGATGAAAGGGTAAATGATCCATCCAAAATGAGTCAACTAGTAAATGGGCTTTGCTCCATTGAGCAGATTGAGTAATGGATGTGACGTGGCCACCTCCATGAGATAGGAGAGGGAGAAAACCAGAGACAAGACCAAAAAAAAAAAAAAACAACACATAAGAAGACAAACAAGATGCTGGGCTACATTAGACCTGAGCAGTGAGTAAACAGGGCGGCCGCAGGGTTTTGAAAACCATCCTGGGTTTTCTCCTCATCAATCTCAGCAGGTTGCATCTCTGTAAAGAAGGGGAAACGGCGCCTGCAGGGGGTCAGACAAGTGTGTGTTATTCATCAGTACACAACTGAATGTAAAGACCCATGGGAGTGCAGCTATTTCAGATTTTAATTTATATAAGATAGACACCATTCATATCAGGTGTCAACATTTGACAATAATGATAAACAATTTCATTAATGAAAGTGATGAGATAACAACAGTCACTAAATGACACATTAGATACAGTACTTATGTTGATGTAAATGTATACCAATGTACGCAATAAATCTTTCTGAAGTGTAACTGGCTTTAGAGTCAATTAAGAAGTAGTTTTTTCTGAGACGTACACTTTCTGCCATGAAAATGCAGCTTTAAGAAGCAGCATCAAATGTTGTCTGCTTGTTGTTTTCTTTTTTTCCTGGCACAGCCCATCACCCTCCTACATGTTGATTCTTTCAGTAATGCTGCCATAAGCTCTCCAAAACAAACACTGTTTTTAGTGTAGGCCTGGGCTGGAAACATGACAGCTTCACAAATATCCACAAGAGAAATAACAGGACTGGGAACATCGGGCACCTTGTGTATGACAGTGCTTGATAAATCAAAGAGTCAAGGATTTGAACACCGGGTTCCAAACACTGCTGTCTTTTTTCTGCTAAGTCCTGGATGTCCATGAAATCAGAGTCTACTAGACAGTTCTGTGGCCATTAGCCAAGTCAGAGAATACAGTATATGACAAACGCTCAGATTATACTCAACATTTTTTAGCTTTTCACCACCTAACCAACTAACCTACCAAACTTCCAAACCTATCAACCAACAAACCAACCAATGTACACATTTACCAACCAACAAACCACCCTCACTGTAAATGGTTAAATATTAAAGTTTTAGCCTGAAGCATCATTCATTAAATGAACATGAACAAAGTACAGGCAGCCACAGGCAGATTATCCATTTAGTGAATCTCAAACCTAAGGCGGTTTTCCATACCAACCAATATTTTATTTTATTTTATTTATTTTTAATCAAAAAGTGAAACATTTAAGACATTTTTTGGATAAGGCATGGCTAATATAATGAAACAGACTCAATCCATGGATTGAGACCTAGCTTAATAGTAATAAAATAATGGCCTCTTAATGTAAATCTCAATTTTGTAGAACATGGACTAGTCATTTGGCTCCTCGGCTTGCCCAGCTGTGATTGGCTAAACCTTTCTCAGCAAGTTTTAAGTAGTAGATGATTAAATCAATAAATCACAGGATCAGCTGCATGATGTCATTATGGTTGTGCTGCATGCAAACCCCTACGTCAAAACATTTACACAGTTATTGTTTTAAATGTTTCAATTTTTTTAAACAGGAATCTGCCAAATACCAACAAAACCCAGAAACTGTGATTGAAATCAGGGCCTTTACAAGAAAAAAAAAAAAAATAAAATATTGAAACTAAAATTAATTTCCTTTTCTGCATACCCATCTCCCCACTCCCACAATAGCTCTGACACCCAGGGACACACCCCACACTTTGAGAATCACTGACAGCTAGTGTTGTCTCACACAGTGGTGTTTTCTAGGCTATTTTCCTGAATTTGCCTGTATCACCAGAGTGGTAAACTTGTTCACCATTCGTGTATGGCAGTGATTTCTTTTCAGTCCTCCATATGTGAGTGAGACCGTGGACCCTGCAAATCAGAGTTTCCTCATCCGTCTGGCAAATATCCACAACCTTGCCAAGACACAAACACACAAACCCACACACAGATGAAACCACTCACCCCCTTGTTTTCTTTCCTCCTCTCCTCACCGAGGATGTCTCACTCTTCAGTTGCCATTGGTTACCTGGCAATTCTGCACTTAATGTCAATTACCCTCAGCTTGTTTAGGCTTCGCGGCAGACACGAGAACTGAAAGAAAGTCTGGCCAAAAGTCATAGTCGGGCTGGCTACTTTTTCTAAGAAGAGGGAGAGAAAAAACAGTTTTTTTAGTGGCTCCACTCCTCAACCCTGCACCTCTTGTTACCCTATCCAATTTTCACCACATCATGTTTCTGCTTTTTATATGTGTGTCTAAGACCGGGAAAGTTGAGGGAGAGACATGTAGATAAACAGAGAGATAAAGAGGGTGGGGGGCTGGAGGGAACTACGGTGATGGTATCAACGTGTGTGATGAGGTGCGAACGCTGGGGGGAATTGGAGGGGAGATGGTTGCCCGGGGATACGACCCCAATATAATTTGATTTGTGGCAGCAGGAAGCAATGAGTGAGTGAGTGAGAAAGGAGGCAGAGAGGATGTGGGGTGGGTGGGGTGGTGGGTGGGCAAGAGAGCAAGAAAAAAAAAGTAGGTGAGAGGAAGAGGTAAAGAGATGCTAACATGTCAGGAGCAGAATGAAGAGGTTTGAAAGATGTCACATGACTGTCAGCTTCTTTCCTCTCCCTCTCCATCATTCCTTAGTTTCTTCACCAATTTATTTCTCACCCTAGTGGCCATTCCAATAATTAAATTGTCAAATATCATGAATGTTTGGAATTGCAGAGCTCTTCATATTTTGTTTAGTTTGTTTTTCTCATTTAAACATTTAGATTTTTTGAGACATCAATCTCCTGCTGTACTTTCATCAATCTAAAATCATCAACAGGATTTTAAATTTTAATATTTCTTCTTCTTTACCAAATAATTGATCTTTAGAACCAAATTTCCAGCCCAAGTATAAGGTACACAGCTTGTTGTTGTCTTTTTTCTTTTTAGAAAATATTGTATTTATTGTGTTTTTTCATATGATACCGATTGTCTTGAATTACATTTGATAGATTTTTCTCTTATTAAATTAAATTGTATCCACTGCAACTTAAATTCATTGTCAACTAGAAATCTTTTACAGCTTGACCTTTTTCAGACCACAGATTAAACAGGAGCTTCATCGTAGCAGTCATGGCGTTAGGGCAGGTTCCCAACAAACAGTGCTTGAACCTTTACTTTTGTTTGGTTTATTGTGTGCTGGGCTCTGTGTTCAGTTGTCTTTGATGGAAGTGCTGGATCACATGTCCTCGTACTTTTACGTAATGACAACAATCAGAGACCTCTTACAGTTTATATAGGTATAAACTTACCTTGAGTGCTGACTACAACTGGCATAGTTTATGTCCCACATTTAAACGTGTGTGTGTGGATAAAACCTTGAAGGCATTGTTTATTGAGTTGTATCCTCTGAACTATTGCATTTTACAGTTTTACAGCCTTGGCCAAGGGGATAAATGGAAATTGAGACGTTTCATCAAATAAATATATACTTATTAATTTATGATTAATTGTGTGGTGTCTATTAAAATGCCCCTTCTTAAAGTGTTGAAACAACTTCAGATGCCAGTTTGAGTTGGCTTTGTATCGATTCTCTGAATTTCTTTGGAGGTAGGAACCAGCGGATAGTTTCATAAGACATTTTGTCATGTGGTGTTTTGGAAATTATCTATAGCAGTTCTCTGATTGGCTCGGGTCTCTGTTGAGGACCACCACGAATGAACCTATTCGTCAAACCCCTACAGTGAAGTCACAGGAAGTGCTGTGGCGTTTATGTCAGATGGAAAAGGTGTAACAGTCAATTTAGCTCCTTGTATGCAGAACTCCACATGCCATCTGTGCACAGTTTAGTTTCCATCGCTCACGTGGATTGTAGCGGCACCTGATGCATGTCCTTTGCTGTAGCCCTCCCTCTGTGTGTGTTTGTCTATGTTTACAGTCCTGCGTTTAAAAAACAACAAATACCACTTCTAGTAACAGGGACGGTGCGTCTGCAGCCACAGCACACAGCGAGAAATCGTTTGTGTGTCTGTGGGTGTGTGTGTGTGTGGGTGTGGGAGAGAGAGAGAGAGGCAGAGAGAGGAAGGAGAAGGATATAGTGTGTGACAGAAGGAGAGTGTGTAAAAGAGTAGGAGACAGTGTGTGACATAGATGGAGAACAGGAAAAAGAGCATAAGAGAGTGTGAAAAGTGACAGGGAGAGTGATATGTCGAGTGTGTGAGTGGTTCTTGAAAGATTCCCACTGATGTCTGTAACTGTCCTCATGCTGAATAGAGCGCTCACATTGATAATGCACAGTAAGAAACAGTGGTGATTATTGACTTTTGTGTGCAGGGTCTCAGTCATCCAGGTCATCTTGCCCAAAGCAGTTACATAGAGGGCAACTGAGACAGTTCTTCACTGGTTCATGATGTCAAGAGTCAATTATTCCCAAACGTTGGAACAGGACGCACTGAAACGACACAGGGTTTCTCAGCAGAGGTCCTAATGACAGTTTGGATTCTTATGAACGAATGTCACATTGAATCACACTGACTTGCTAAACTAACAAAGTCATTCATTTATTTAATTTTATAAAAGTAATGTCATTCCTATTTTTCTACAATTATTTAGCTGATTCTGATTTGTGATGCAAATTGGGAACATGGGCTCCTGAGTTAAGAGTATGGCATTCCTAGTTGTACCACAAACCTGAAAATCGGCCAGGGTTTAATCACAGAGGTAGTTAAATGGATCATTATTTAGTTTAGGCCAAAAACAAATGACACGAGTTCGAGGGTTTCTTTTAACCTCATTGTCTCCCTAATCACTGCCCTTTCTCCATCAGGTGACGTTCACTAAGCGAAAGTTCGGCCTGATGAAGAAAGCGTACGAGCTCAGTGTCCTGTGCGACTGTGAGATCGCCCTCATCATCTTCAACCACACCAACAAGCTGTTCCAGTATGCCAGCACTGACATGGACAAGGTCCTGCTCAAGTACACGGAGTATAACGAGCCTCACGAGAGCCGGACCAACGCCGACATCATCGAGGTAAAGCTGGGGAGGAGAGGGGAAGAGTTGGTGAAACAATCACTGCTAAAATAATGGCGGTTTCATGGTGTAGTGAACTAGTTATTTTCTGTCCTACTGTTGTTGAAAAATCAATTTCTCACTGTTCATCCTGGCCTTTTTGTGTGTTTCCTGTTTCTACCTCTAAAAGCTTTTTTCCCACTGGACCCAATAAGATTCCAACTTAACTCTTCTGATTTACTTTTCTCAGACTTATTAGGACATAATTAGTTCAAGTCCACTGTATTGCAGTTCCTGATATTGGCTGGACTTCTGTGTCATTGATCCCAGAAGACATGAGGCTCTTGAAAGCTAACACGGCTCTTGTTTCTTTCTCTTGTTGACCCCACATTCTTGTTCCTGTAGATGAAGAATATCTTTCTCATCTTTGAGTGATCTTTGAAGAATATTTGCTCATTTTATAATGATAAACAAGACACTAAGACATAATTCTGCTTGGGAGTTTATTACAAAATAAAAGTCTTGTTTATTCTGTGCTACTTCCTTTGCTTGGTCAAACTGCAGAATAGCACCAAGGGTTCAGTTTATGTTTTTTACAATTGGTTTTTAGATTGTATCACACTGATTGGTATATTCATCCATTGAGTAGCTGGTAATGTGTTCTTCTCTCCCATTCTGATAATGAGTAGATTTGATTAAGTTGTAATTAGAAAGGAGAAAAGTATATACTTTTAATTAGAGTACAGCAGGAGAGCAAGAAATTAAGTGTTTATTGTGTCAATTAAACCACTCAAGAAAACATGTTTTGAGGAGAATGTGTTTTAGTAAAAGGCAGCTTTTCAAATTGTAGAGTTTGCAGATTACAAATCCACCATATTGTTTTTGTAGCCAGCAGTTAGCTCTAGCTCAACACTGCCAGAGAAGCAGTGCTGGGGATTGCAGTTGATAGTGGGGTAACTTTGGGCTTGATTTTAATTTTGGGGCTTTTATATCTTAGAAGAACAAGACGGATTCTTGTTAGTAAAGCATATGTGACCTGTGAAATTGTTTTAGTGTTTCGTGGGTGATGTTAGTTTTTTAGTTTGATTATCTGTCAGACCTAGAGATGTTCCAGAGCTGGTTCCTGATGGCTAGTGGTACAGTGACCAGAACTAGATTTTTGGTTACCTCAAAACAACGAGTTGGCCTCCATTTTTATTTACAAACTATTAAACAAATAGTAAAAATGAAGAGGTACACGACCTTTGACAAGACTAACTATAAATCAGGATTTACTCGGGATACTGTAGCACAATACGTTAAAGCCAATGCAGTGTTTTTCCACTCCCGTGAATTTCACTCTCATCCAGTCAGCTTAGGTCCTGTTGAGTCCAGTTTGGATTTTTCATGTCCTGTTCATCCCACTGTTGTTTATGGCTGCTCTTTGGCCTAGAGCCTCCTAGCTTACAGGAAGGGCAGAGTGAGGGACAGCTGGGCCCCACCCCTCCTCACTGCTCTGGCATGAGCCATGTTGTTACCCAGAGACCCTTACAACAACAACAGCAGCCACAACAAGCCATGGTACTGATTACGCCTCAGCACAAAATAGCCTCTAGTAAGGTTATGGTCCTAACGTAGATTCACTGGTAAAAAAATATATGGTTGGATTGTTATTATTATTGACTGGAAAAGAGTTTAGCGAAAAGGTTAAAAAGAAACAGAGAGGTCAATGGTTTGGTTCTGCCCTTATATAGCTCTGGTGAAAATATATGTATATTTTCCTAGCATATTTATTCCCCGTGGGGAGAAGCTTCACTGGAGCTCGTCAGGCGAACACGGAGCACATTCACACGCCTTGCTGACCCTTTTATACATAATGGCCCTCTCATGAATTGAACACGAGATGGTTAGGTATGATTCAGCGAGCCGTGCAAGCTGCAGCACAGCACTTAGCCTTCATATGGAGCGCTGGCTCAAAGCTGTTCTTACACATACAGTTGCTGGAGTTCATCATCATTTAGCCACAGTTGATATAAAGTCACTGAGAAATTGCATTAAGGAATTTCTGTCCAATTTTCCTGATTACTTTATAAAAACATTCGTTATTTTCACATGTGGCGCCAGTGTTCACTGTCATGTTCCACAGTGGCAGTTTGTCCAGCTCAGTTCTGAACTCGAGAGTTGCCTCCTGCGCAATAAACCCTTTGAAAGTGTGAGGATATTTCAACACAATTTAACATCAACCTCAGACTTTTACTTTGTGCTTTGTAAAGTGTTACTTTATTCCCAGTTTTTCAGAACAAGGCAATAACTGGTACCTTCATCCCAGGTGCTCTGATCTTTGACTCCTAATGATGAGTGTAGTTTCCGTCTTCTTCCAATAACACTGAAGAAAAGCCCGGAGGCAAAGATCGTTTGATTCATCTCATAAACTCCTGGGAGAATCATACGACCTTTAACTGCTACTGTGAGGCATTGTTCTTTTTTTTCCAAATAGTGTGAAGTCATCAAGACTAAAAAGTACGCGCACGCATCTCCTGTAATTCACTGTATGTGTGTGCGTCTCAAGTTAACCTGAGATCCCGTGTTGGACAGTTCGTCTTGGGAACAACAACTTCAGTCGCTGGACTTAGCTTTAGGTTTAGACTGTTGTTGCATAAAGAACTTTAAACTTTTTTTTTTAATAAAATGATATTCCTCGGTTGCCAATGCTCACACCTAATAAACCCAAGATTCTTGGTAGTGCTGCATTTCACTTCCTAAAGACAAATGACTGAACTTCAACTTCAAGGTTTTACACAGTCACTGTGATCCAGGTGGAGTTCCTCTTTATTACCTCAGGTTCCATTTCTGTTTGATATGATGTGATATAATTAAGTGGACCCAAGAAGTGTTTCTAAGTAATAAAGGAAGGTCGGACTCAGCCACAGGGCAGAGTAATCCCTCATTAGTATTGTTCAGTCTTGTCCAGGTCCAGGTGGTTGGTCGATATGTGTCAGTCTCATTTTCTGCTTTTTATTATTAATTTAATGCATTTTAGCAAACACATTTTTACATGTGTAATTAGCATGCACGAAATGTGTCTGTGTAAACATTCACAATAAATATTGAATCTCTGGCATGAGTTTAAAAATAATCAAAAGAGGGATTTGGATTTTGATCAGGTTTATTTATTTATTTAATTCATGTCGGCTAAGAGATTAGGAAATCTGAGGTTTAAATGAGCTGGACAAGTGAAAATTTTTATGGAGATTCCAGATTCGTCCATAAGGTCAGAATCAGGATAGGTTAGTTAAAATCTTTTCACTCAATCACAGTCATGAAAAATGCATTTAAAGTCTCTGTGTCGCAGCAGAGTTTAGTGCCACGTTTTTCACCTCATCTGCCTCTCGTTCTCCCCGTCTCTTCCTCCTCCTCCGTGTCTGTCACTTTTTGCCTTCCTTTCACCCTTCTCTTGCTCTCTTCTTCCCCCAAATCTCCCAATTTGCTCGGTCACGACAGTTTTTCCTCTTTCCTTTCTCTTTCTATCTGTCTTAGTGTGTCAGCACTAAAGCTTTTCTGTGGGCTGTATCTCTAGCTGCAGATGGCCCTTAAGTGTAACAGTGTATGTATGTGTGTGTGTGTGTGTGTGTGTGTGTGTGTGTGTGTGTGTGTGTGTGGCAGGACGTTGGGCCGCTCCAGGCCACATCAGCTCAAGCCTCACTGGCCCTGTTTGTGCGCACTTATGTGTTTGCGTTATCAAGTGTGTCACTCTGTCTCTTTCTTTTTCATAACGTGTGTATGTCATGTGTGTGTTTGGAAGCGTGTGTTTGTGTCGGTTTGCATGCTCTGCAGTGGCCCATGAGAATTTCTCATACAATATTTAGGCCTGGTGAGCTTCTCAGTTGTGTGTCAGCCTCTGTGTGTGTGTGTGTGTGTGTGTCCTACAAGAGAACGTCTTTGGTAAACCAGTCCTAATATTGCCACACATACAGAGACACACACTACCCTATCAGCTCTCCATGTAGGTGGCATTAGGCAACTTATTTCAGTGTTTGTCCTCGGCTGTCTCATCATCCAGATGTGCTACAGCACACACCTCCTTGTTAAGCGAGTGTCAGCTTCCTCTGCCCCGAACGTTTTCTATTAATCCCTATTACTGTGAATCCGCAGTGACATTTTGAATCATTAAGGCTGTGGGGAAAAACTCTGGGTACAGTATAACCCAGCCAACGTGCTCACAAAGCAATCTTTAAGACTGCACCAGCACACCACAGCCACCCCCAGACTGCAGGATTTTCAGGTCAATTTTGCAAGTCACGGCCAAATGCCCCTAATCGGAAATATTAGGGCTGTCACTTTTAGTCCAAAGTATGACCAGAGAGAGCTGTGTAAGCACGGCTCGCCCTCAGATATCCACTTTGTCTTCAGTAAGAGGACGGTGCCACTAGGTTTTTTTTGCTGTTAGCAAGCAAGCTCAACAGTCCTTTTTTTTGCTGTTAGCAAGCAAGCTCAAGCTCATAAAGCATGAATATAACACTGTACCAAAGCATATCAAAATGATTTCATCTCAACTCTTGATCAAAATCAGATATGACTAGTCCAACGAGTGTAGCCAATCACTGACCAATACATTGGCGTGAAACATTAATGGGAATAAAACTCTGGTTATTTGAATAAACCTGGTTGTAATGTTGCGCAGAAAGAAAAAAAAGAAGAGAGAAAAAGAAAATAAATAAAAAAAAGCAATTGTGTGTCAATAAAGCAGCAGTGTGACTCATTAATGTGTTTTAATAGTGTTTGTGGAGCGGAGCTTTACAGCAGAGCAACAAGATAGTGTTATCAGGCATGGATACACACATACACACACTTCCACAGTGTGTTTCAGAAGGCGACGTTTACTGTAGGTTCAGTGGGAATGTTTGATAGGCTAATCCTTTGATGGAGCACTTAATAGTAGAGTATGTTCTCATCATACTACTCCTGACCTATAATTAATAATAATAATTTATGGGCCGTGTTAAGGATTTGAGGTGCTTCATCAAAACCACACATCACTGACA